GGGTGATAAAATATTAGTAAAAAGTCGGATAAATAGTGAATGGCTTGTTGGAGAGCTTAACGGTAATGAAGGCAGCTTCCCAGCCAACTTTGTCGACAACATTCCAGCAAACCTTCCATCAGCAGCTAATTCACCCTGCAACGTGCCTAGCGATGATGCAGCTCAGGTGAGATACTTGATTTTCCAGGCATCTTTTTGAGTTAATGCTACAAGTGGCATTTCTAAGGGGTAGTGGGGTAGGATTTTGAATTGGTACTACGAATAATGATGGCAAGCTAACTTGAAGGAGATTATATTAGGTAATTTTTAATTATGTGAGAGTAATTATTTTTTTTTGCTCAGCATATTTTCAGTGTGGAGTGTGTTTAAAAGGGCGCCTGGATGTTGCAAACTTTCTCCGGGGACGTTTTGTGTTTTATATAACGCTTACAGTACATCCTTTTATGGTACTTCAGGTCACAGGTCATTACATTTGTAGCATAGAGAGTTGTAATAGTATTTTAGCGTAACTTATCAAAGAGAAACTGTCTTCTTTCTTTCTTCAAAGAAAATATAATAATATATTAATTTATTCATGTCAGAATGTTATTCTGTAATAGCACTACACATGTGTTTTTTCTTTTTTTTAATTTTAATAAAACAATGATTTAAAAAAAAAAATTAATTTTCATTCAATCAATTTGTTTTATAGGGTACATGTACTGCTGTGTTTGACTTTGATGCAGGGGATGAGGACGAGTTGTCCATTAGAACGGGGGACACCATCACAATTGTGGAATCTGTGGGTGATGACTGGTTGAGGGGGAGGCTCAATGGAAAAGAGGGTATATTCCCAAGAAACTTTGTCGAAATGCAAGAAGGTACCTTGATAATCTTAATACTATGTATGTAAAATATAATAACCTGTCTTAATTGAACTTGATCATTGATCGAGTTCCTAGCCCATATATCAAGCACCCTGAGCATGTTAGATGGATTTAGCGCTATCTAAAACTACACTACAAAACTTGCGTATTTGACTTTTTAGTATTTCAATATTTATTGAATAATCAAAGGGTTTTCATGAATTGGACTCAGTCTTTTTATCAGTGATGTAGTTATGGTGGGGCGGGGCCCCCCAGTCTTGAGGTTTTCCACCCAGTCTAAAAGCTACTTTCATGGCCCTCCATCCACCCTTATTAACTCACTTTTCCATCCTTAAAATCCACTCTTATTATTTACAGTTTACCAATGTTATCACCCACCCACTCTTAAAATGTCTATCACTTACCCATAGTTTTCTACAGCTATAACCCTGATGCTCCGATTTTTGGCATTCCAGTCTAAACATAAACAGAGAGGGGTACGAGACAAGAAAAAAAAAATTGTTTTACGCTGGTATAAAGGTTACTGATTGTGTGATTATTGTATTTGCAGGGGGTTCTGGCGCAAAAATGACTGTGAAAGCATTGTTTGATTTCCCTGCCAAAATGCATGATGACCTTAGCTTTCAGGTAGGTCAACTGAAATTAATAAGATTATAAGTAGACGTTGCACTTTAAAAAGGAAATGTATGTATAAAGAAATGTAACCTGCCACTTCATCTCTCTCCACACTATTTTCCTGTATAAGCTTGCGATATGACATCATTATGCCCATATATGGGTTTGATATGATATCACCATGCTCATATATGGATACATCAGATATTTGTCATAAAATTTGGCAGTTTGAACAGACTATCAAATTGTATTTGACAAAAACATGTGACATAACCTAAATATATATTCATGATGACATCACATCATGACCATATATAGGCACATCATGACTATATATGGGTGTACAACCGTTTTTTGTCAAAGAAAACTGAGAGTGTAGTCAGAGAGCTTTACAGGTTGGAATAATATATGATGATCTATGAACTTAATTTTAATATAAGCTTAAGATTTATTAAGGAGTGATGTTTACCATGGCATTTGTATATCTAATTATGTCCATCCAATTATCTGACAGTCTTTCATTTATCCACCTTTGTATTATTGGTTTGAAAATGTGTTTAATTATTAACTAAACAATTATTTTCAAATTTTTGACTTTACTAACCAGGTCAATGACATCATTACTGATGTAGTCAGCGTTTCAGACGACTGGTACGAGGGCAGTCTAAATGGAAAGGTTGGCCGATTTCCATCAAACTTTGTGGAAGTTATTTCTTCTTGATATTCCACTCTGCGGTATATACATATATAATTTCACATTTAATTTATGTTGTAAATGATATACTTAAAGTGTTTCTCACTTCACCTCTGATTTGCATATTTTTAATAATGTACATTTGCATGATGTGTTGCAATCAGTGTCGTATCAACGATTATTGACATGGCGCGGATGTAGGAGAAGGTACGATGTGACATCGATGGGGAGCTATCTGGGTAAAGGTGAAATTAGGTGATGTTTTAACTACATTAAATTAGTGCAGCACCCCTTAAATATGTCACTGTTTGAAATTAATTTTAATAGAAAGTGTAAATGTGGCATTATCATCCTACATACAGTACCTCTGTCTACACTGTCTTATGTGATATTTATGTGACAAATTTTTTTAATGTGCCCATATATGTGCATTATGATGTCATATTG